AGTATATGTTTACCATGCTTTAAGCATGGAGTGCATTTCTTTATTCATTTTGCAGTATAAATAAAGTGGTTGAGAGGAATTGATGGGAACTAATTTTGAAGAATGTACTAAACCACTTAGGAATATCTGAACATTTTAATTCTTAAGCACTTTTCAGAAACATTGATTCATACCTTAAAATGCCCAGGTTTTCTCAAATTGTTATGGATATTTATTTTAAATTCTCCCAATCTGAGCTTTATGAGTAACTGCATTTATATCAGCTGATAAAATTTTTTAGTTCTGTATTGTCTGCTCTGTTTGTCACTGAAGTTCAATACAACAGGCCATCCCTAAAAAAGAATTAACCTTTTATGAGTAGGCATCATAAAAACATTTTGGGGCTTGTGGTCAATAGCTTGTGGTCAGTAGCTGATCTTTGGTTATGCAAATCAGCCCTGTTTAGCACTTAGATGAGGAATAATTGAAGAATTTTCTGTTGGCTAGACTAGGAGGGGGAAAAAAAATCAATGACAAACTAATTCAACATGGAGGATAAGGAGGAATTAAGTTCAACTTGAGAGAACACTATATTGAAAGCAGAAACGAAAGTCTTGGCTTTTACTTTACCATCCTGAATATTTTAACCAGAGCAATCACCCTTTTTTCAGATGAATACCCATTTGGTTTATAAAAAAAAATGGTTGCATTAGAAACTCCTACAAAGCCAGCAGCTTCAGAGGCCAAAAGCCATGACCATCTGCTTTACATTGTCCAGGGACACTTGCAGGATATTATTGTATCATGAACATCTGATATATCTACAGGAACTAAGAGGGCGTGGTGATCATCTCTGAAATTATAGTTAGCTAGATCAATCTAAAGCAGGGGTGTCAAGCTGGCGGCCCATGGGCCGGACGCATCATCCAGAAGCCGTCCCCACCCCATTGCCGACAATAACAAAACCATCCCGATACGTTGCGTGATGTCATGTGACATTGCGAGTTTGACATGTCTGATCTAAAGGATAAGTCAGGATTTTTAGTAGACGTAATTTTTTCTAAGTTTGATCATTTGGAAAATTTAGAAAAAGAGGCCGGACAATTCAATTCTTATCTTTAGATTTGGAGGTTGAAATATTCCCACCTTGAAATGTCATCTTGACTTTATTGGAAGTGTCCCATCATCGGAATGGACCATTCCAACATTGACAGAAGTAACATGGCCTCAAAATAGAGTGTGGCTTATTTTATGTTCAGGCCACTTCTGGTAAAGTCGGGTTCTTGTTTTCAGTCACTTGTTTTAAGGTTGGGGCACTTTTGCACAAATGTTTTCCTTTTTCCAGTAAAATTTCTGGATCAACCAAATACAAATATGCAATTTAAAACATTGCCAGGTTTATGCATAGGAAAATGAAAACATCTAAAAACTCTGGTTCTTAGATTTGATATCACTAGATGAACTTAGGTGAGCCACTGCATAACAGGACTGTCAATTTGTCATATTTGTCTGTCTTAAAGTCTTGTAATAATAATAATAACAACAACAATAATAAAAAAAGTTGGAAGGAACCTTGGAGGTCATCTAGTCCAACCCCCTGCTCAGGCAGGAAACCCTATACCATTTCAGACAAATGGCTGTCATGAGAAAGAATGAACCATGGCACTCCTGCCCAAACAATCTATCGATGTATATTTGGTTTGCAATTCTTCAGAAATTCTTAGAAATTCCAAGTTTCAGGTAGCATTAATCTATTTCAGCTGTTTATTCAGCAATAACTTTGGTGCTTTAGAAATGAGGAAGATAAAAGATGGGACTCCATTTCTCTGAGATACTACAGTTCTGTCTAAAGCTACACGTATAATTTGTTCGTGTATTATGTAAAATAGCAAAACCAAACTCAGCTTTAACTGTTTGAGTGACATTTTGTCTCAGTGAAACCTTCTCTGAAGAGGTGTATCCGAGATACAGATGCTTGAGGAATTTGGAATGTGACCCCCATTTGTTTGAGGTCAATTTAATTAAATCTGGCTTAATCTTCCCACAATTCTTGTTTATTACCAGAAGAATCTGCTGCTGAAAATATATATTTTATCCATCATGAAAGACTAAGCCAGGCCTGTTATTCTTCTTCTGTGTCATAACATACATATAGATCAGTGTTTCTCAACCTTGACAATTTTAAGGCATGTGGACTTCAACTCCCAGAATTCCACAGCCAGCAATGCTGGCTGTGGAATTCTGGGAGTTGAAGTCCACATGCCTTAAAATTGTCAAGGTTGAGAAACACTGATATAGATGTTTTGAAGAATTATTATGGAGTTGGGTGGCCATATAAATTTACCAAATAAAAAAAAGATTAAAGAAAAAAAAATGACTCTTTCCTCCCCTGTCCAAGTCTGTGCTTTCATAATACTGCTTAATTGCCAGTTTTATTCTGAAGCACAAGAATAATTATTCTGGAACTATTTGAATTTAACATAAGAGTTAAAATTTTAGAAATTTATCTCAAATATTCTTGTATCCATCAAGGCTGTATTGTAAGATTTCTGTCCCTTCAGGTTACAGATCAGACAAAGCAAACATATGAAAGCTATGTGCTGAAATAGGTAATTTCTGTGTTCTCACAAACAATATATCAGTACTCTGAAGTTGTTTTTATTTAAAAAAAAACACAAGCATCATGGGAATCTTGTCTTATGGTGTATAACAGACATAGTGTCATATAATTGCAATTTAGATGTGTCAGAGATTAAATTTTGCACGATAGAAGTAAAATGTACTTCAAGTCAGTTGCCTGAAGTTTAGTATTTCTGCTTTCTAATATTGGTATGACAGATTCTTAGGAAATACTAAGTTATTTTATATTCTTCAGATGAAATTTGATAATGGTATAAATTCAAAAACCAATATACACACAGACAAACTTCAATATATGCATATATATATATTTATAAAGTTCAATTGGCAGTTGGATAGGTATTAATAATATTAGTCTATATGCAGCTTCTTTATTAGTTTGAATCATACCATGATACAATTTACAGACTTTTTGATCTGGAATTCTTGAATCTAGAACAGTGGTTCTCAACCTTTTTAATGCTGCGACCCCCAACCGGTCATAAGTCGAGGACTACTCAACCAGTTGTAAGTCGAGGACTACTCAACTGGTGCAGCACCATTTGCAGAATGGGACTTTTGGCGGGCTCAGCAGGGCAGAGACAGCCTGGACAATTCCTATTGGCACAGCTAAGGAAAAGGGGGGAAAAAATGGTGGACTGCGTTGTTTGGCGACCCCCGTGAAATAGTCGTTTGACCCCAAATGGGGTCCCGACCCACAGGTTGAGAATCACTGATCTAGAATAAGGTGGCTATATTTTCTTGGAAAAAATAAACCAGAAAAATGGGCAAATCTGAAAGAGGTTTATAAGGATAAAAAAATAAATTATGTTTCTAATTTTTCTTTACAAAGGAAAATTCAAGAGCAAAAAAAAAAACTTTACAAAAATGCATATTCTAATAAAAATATTTAAAATCATGCAAAGTCATGCAGGTGAGATGGCCTATATAGAAATGTGATAAATAAAATCAGTATATGTAATTTTTTTTAAGGAAAAGACAATTCAATTTCCATATGGTTCATATGAATGTGAAAGAGTGGTGCCATTTGTACAGTAAAAGTTAAATGACCAAAATAAAGGACAAAAGTGAGATTTTGAAAAAAATAAATCTAAAACATAGTTTTCTGAAATAAAGGGCTATCCTTTATAATAAAGGATGTATAGTCACTGTAATCTACGATGGCTACGCAGCTGAGAAAACTAAATTGGTAATCTCTGAGGATCATGGTAAATTTATTTCACTGCACACAAACGGAAAAGGCAGTGCAGAAATTGCAAATATACAGCAAAAAAAAAAAAATCTAAACTCCACAATCAGCCAATGCACCTTTATTATGTTTTAAAACATAATAAAGCATATATTGAAAGAAAGTTGACTTGAATTTGGTTTTAGCAACTAAGGAGTGACTTTCTTTGATTTCTGAAATTTGCAGACTTTGTTACCCCAAGTCTGACAATTCCTAATATGTATGAACCAGGCATATATTGCCTCCTTCAGGCCAATGCACAAGATGTATTTTACACTGTAAAAATTGAGTTTTACGGAAGTCATGTAAAATCTTATCTCTGGGATATGTAGCACAATATAAATACCTGCATCCCTCTTTCTCTCTATGAACATTTAAAGCAAGGTAAATGGTATTTACCATTTGTATAGATTCCCAATACTGCAGTATCTGCTGGAGCCACATAGTTGAGGGTCTTTTCCTTTGGAATAGCCCTACTCCTTGATACATGGCTCATTATCTGTTGTTATGTGCTGAATTTTTAAAACATTTCATGTAAAGATGTTTCTATATTTACTTTCTCTCCACTTCCCCCCTTTTCTAAAAAAGTGTTGCTGATTATGCAAAATAGATTATTTTAAGAATTGTCACTGTAAATATATCTTGTGAACACTTAAGCATTGCCGTTGATTATAATAAATATTTCTTCTAGCATCTCACCACATATTCCTCCTTTTCTTTTTCTGATGTATTATCATTGGATAGTCTTGTTGATTGTTTGTTTTACTTCAGGAAAACTTTAAAATATTTGATGAGACTGCAGATGCTGCTGCTGCTATTGGACTATGCAGGATGCATTTAAATAATCCTCAGCTTATTTTGTATGGATAAGAAAAACGAAACCAAGCCAGGGGTTAGACGCAGGTGGCTGGTTTAAACTAACTCTTTGACCTACAAGTCCAAAAGGTTTCAAGAAACAAATCTATACTTTGAGGAGCCAACTCTTTCATCCGCATTTATGCAAATTAATTATTAGTCATACCAAGTTTTAGAAAGACATAGAAAGCAAACACCGAAACTAGAAGTAAAGTTTATCGCAATAGCTGCAGAAAGTTGCAATTCACTTGGCATACTGAAGGGGGAGTCCGCATTCCGCGGGAGAGCTCGCCGGCTGCTTCCGTCAACAAGAGCGCATTCAGCTTGGCGCAGGCGCAGTAGCAATTGAATTATCTTCTGGAGTTCTGTTGATGAATTTCCAAAACTGGGTACCAGAAAATTTCAGGTAGGCGCTGCAGAGGGTATTGCCTCGTCGGAGCTAAGAGCTCCCGAATATCTTTTGTAAATCAGCGCCAGCATCAGGTGAGAGGAGCCTTACTCTGCTGGCGTTTTTTTCTACTTTAAAAAGGGCTCCTTGCATTTCTGTTAGCTCCGGTGGTGTGGGTAGAGATGGTCTTGGTATTGCCGAGTGTACGTGCAAACTGAGCCACGTGGCATTTTTTCGTTTTACTGCAACATTTCAGGGAATAAAACGTGTCAGTGCAATTGCTGGCTTTGGACAGATTGAATATGGACGTATGTTTTTTGCAGCTTCACAGTGACGTCGTCAAGCCAAACTCCATGCTTGCAAAAAGGAAGGAAAGAGACTTGCAGAAATCCGACTGGCCTCGGGCACTTTCAGAGTCACACCACTCTGTGGGGAGTTGTCTAATTGCCTAAATCAGTTGTTAAAGAAGCTAGAAAAAGCTCCAGCCATTCACCTTGTGCTTCTATAAAACACAAAAGTACTTTTTATGCTAGAAAAAGTTAAAAGCTTTACCTTCTGGGACAAACAGTTAAAACATTAAAGAGCAACATTGACATGTTGATTCTGCAATGTGCTTTGCAGCAAATGCCTGTATATTTATTTGCCCATTTTTTTTCCTTTCGTGGTTCTTGTGCTTTTGAACCATTGTGTGTGGCAGAAAAAATAAATAGATGCAAATCTTCTCAGTTTTCTGAAACAATGGCTGAAAATATTTTAGACTTGACACCAAGGCCTTAGTTAAGAAAAACAAAGTGATCAGCATGTTTGGGAAAAAAGGATGTACAGCTACCCACTGAAAGTAATAATGTACTAGAAAAATTAAAGGATGTTGTGTGTCTCTCAGAGAATTACATTTTAATACTTCTTTATTGTATTATATGCTGTTAATTTGACTAATGTTAATTACTCCCAGATCTTATTAAAAAGTCTTGTTTTTATTTTCCACTGTTTAATGAAATCCAGACTTTTAAAAGTCTGTAATTTAGGATATATTCTGTTTACTTACATGCATAGGTACAAGGCTGTCAATTTTTTCTTCCCCATTTGTGGGAAGTTGATTTGAGAGACAGTTGTGTCTAGTGATTAAGGCATCAGGCTTAGAAAACAGGAGAGTGAGTTGTAGTCCTGCCTTAGGCATGAAAGCCAGCTGGGTGACTTTAAGCCAATTGTTCTTTCTCAGCCATGAAGTCAGGCTTCGGTGACAAATTGGTTAGTCAATTCCTATTGTAAACAATGGATCAACACCTTGGTTATCTCAGAAAAGTGGACCTGTACTTCTGGAAAAAAAAACACTAGAAAGAGAAAAAATTGTTGACAAATATAGAAAAAACTCCCATATATCCAAGAGTGATGAACATTTCATAAAGTGAAAATGTATATGAAAAGTGTGGTGAAATTCATTCATGAAAGGAACATAATTGTATCCTCATGCTGAAAGAGAACACTCCTGAAAACCAGATGAAGTAAAACAATGCTAGAGCATTGTATTTGTGCACCATTGTAGCATTATTGTGCCATTGGCAAGCTGTTACCAATAGATATTTTTCCAGTCAGACATCAAATGTGAACTATTGAATTAACTCAATAATATTTTAGAGAAAGAATGGACTTATTCAGAATTCCGGAGTTCTCAAAGAGCTCCTGAACAAATGTGGAGGAACCATTGAGATACAGAACCTTCAACAGCTTCTTTCTTCCTTTCCCTTTCCCAGAATGGAGGGCTGGTACTGACTTTTTGGTTGATTGTAATACAACACAACAAAATGTATATTTGTCTTGTACAAAATGCATACAATTGGTACAATATTCCCAATGTGGTATATAAAAGAAGCAATTTCCCAAAGCTCTATGAAGATGGAGAGTTTGGTTGCTTACAGTGAGTGGTATATTTGCCCTGCCTCAAAACATTTTTATATCAAACTTTATATCAAATCCCCCCCTCTCTTTGTGTGTGTATGTGTGTTCCTATTGCCTTTTATCTATCCTCCCTCCCTCCTTGTATTTTTCAGGCAAGACAGACAGAAAGTCACATGATGCCTTTAAAATGATAATGTAGGTGAATTACACAGGGCAGATTGCATTTCTATGCTACAGTTGGTAATGCAAGGAACAGTATTCCAACTGGTAAGCTGTGCCTGTGTATTTGTATATATGGAGGTGAGGGCAAGCTTTAAAAATGGAAGCATGTTCTCCAAGTTGACCTGTTAGGGGGAAGACTTAGAACAGCGTTTCTCAACGTTTGTGTGATGGCGACCCCCGTCACACGAACGTGCTGCGCATGCATGGCACGGCGCGCATGCGCGGAGGCGCCCCCTGAGGGGGGAAAATGGCGGATCGCATTGTTTGGCGACCCCCGTAAAATGGTCAGTCGACCCCAAATGGGGTCGCGACCCATAGGTTGAGAACCGCTGACTTAGAATGTAGGTCCGTGGTTGCCAGTTTCTGCCCTTCTGTATATGGGATAAGGGATATGTCTGGTTAATTTTTCCAGCACAGCCCATTTGTTATAAGATGTATACTAAATTCCTTGAATGCTCTGAAGCAGGCATCCTCAACCCCTGATCTGTTGGCTGGTACCAATCTGTGACCCATTGTGAACCAGGCTGTGTAACCAGTGGGTGAGTGTGCGAAACTCCATTTGTATAAGTGACAGGCACACATACACAAAACCATGGGTCCTCCCTTCTACTGCCGCTGCCAGTCTGCAGAGCCAGAAAAGTTGGGGACCACTACTATAAGGGAAGGGGATGTACAATAGGTGCATATTAAATAAGTTGCTTTTTCAGTTCATACCTGGGATCAGATATAAATGAAATGTGTTTTTGGCTTAGCATGTTTTCAGAACCTACATCATGGATTGAATTTCAGATCTCAATTCTAGCTTGAAATCATGATCAGTTACTGATTTGTCTACTTCAACAATTCTGTTGTTCTGGACTTTCTGTCAATTGAAAAGTCAGAGGGCTCCATGCAGTGGTCCTTCACGAAGATCATTGTGATTGTTGAATTGTGTACCACAACTAGAACTTATAGAAATGGCTGTGTTGATTATAATTCCTAATGTTTTTATGATGCTTTTGGTTTCATCACTGGACAAGCAAATGTTTGCAGATATACCATACTGGTCTTCTTGATATAGTTTATGTTTGCAGTAAAATAATAAAATAAAAATAAAATATTTATCAAGTTGATTGTCAGGATATTGAATCAAAAGAACAAATTTGACTTACATAGCCTTTTGGGGGAAAAAATTTACTCAAACCAAAAAGAGAGCTAGCAATATGCTGGTATTGATTCCTGTTTTTCTATTTAAAATACTCTTCCCCCAATTTCACTTGTCCTGATCTACTATTTGTATCAAACCATTGATGAATACTAATTAGAGGCAGCTTTTACTTCTGGACTGTCACCTTGAAGGCACTTTTTAAAAATAATCCTATTTTAACCATTTTTAAACAAGTATTTTAATATGTGTGTAGCGGGGCTGGCTGAAGGGCTTTGCGGGAGCCTGCCCGGGGAGAGGGAAGTTCGGACAGCTGCTGCCGGTTTTGGGCGCAGTGGGCATGAATTGGGCGGAAGGACAGAAAAAGGAGGAAAGAAAGGGGGGGGTGGTTGCTGTTGCTGTTGTGGGGGAGAGACCAGGGGAAGCTGAAGAGGGATTTGAGGTTTTAGCTGATCCCTTTCTTTGAAGGAGAGGGAAAGAGAGAGTGAGAAGGTGGAATTGTATTGCTTTCCTTTGCAGGGGGGATATCCTGAGTGGAGGCAAGAGAGAGAGTGAGGAGAGAGAAAGCTGTGGGGTTGCTTAATTCAGATTTTAACAATAAAGGAAAGGGGGGACGGGTTTTGACACCGACGAGATCTGAGACTGCACGCAACGACAGAAGAGAAGGAGAGGCTGGTCGCTACTGCTTTGGAGACTAGCGGCCATCTGAACTTTGATTACTGTTACTTGTGCAAGTTATGGACATTGTGGGGAGTTGCCCTCTCAGGATGAGCTGTTACTGCAGAACGCTGACTACCTTCGTTCGTGTTTTCCATTGCTGCCTGGAGCCAGGGCTTTCCCCACCCCCTTGTTTCCAAACAGTTGCTGTAAAATCATTGACTATTGCTGCTACGATTGCCTGGGGCTGTTAAACACTGCCACGCATTGACTATTGGGGTTAGGGGCTGGTCATCTTTGTTCCTGAAAGCCCCCCCACTGACGAGAATCTGCCATCTCCTCACTTCGTGTGAGCTCCCACTAGAAAAGGCACTTTATTAACACCTTGAGAGCTGCAGAGCGCAACGGAGAGTAAAGTACAGCCTAATGACTTCCTGTTTAGTAATCATTTGAAGTTATAACAGTACTGAAAAGGCCATTGCACTTACAATTATCATATCCCCATGTTTACGTGATCAGAATCCGGGCACTTCACAAATAGTGGGCACGTAGGCCTTTACAGCATCTTGTGGTCACGTGATGACCATTTACACGCTTCACACTTGCTCCCGACAAGTAGGATCAATGGAGGATCTGGCACTAAAATCAATGGGGACGTTATCTTACTTCAAATGAGTGTGTCTTCTTGGGCCCAGGTGACAGGCATAATCTATAAACCATGATCAACCTGCCTTGTCATAAAAAGAGGCAGAGGGGGGGAAAATGGACTGATGGAAAAAATAGGTCCAGAAAAATAACCTGTTATAATTTGAGTATGATAGAAATATCACAGTTCAATGATATTTGGGTCATGATTAAGTTCTGTGTTTTGAGTAATATGATCATTGCAATTATAGTTATTAACAATGAGAACATAACAGAGATTTCGGAAAAGCAAACAAACAAAGCTGTTTCCCCCCCCCCCGTCCTCTCATCAATTGATGGTCTGCTTTATAATTGCTATATTTACATGGAGACTGAAAACAGTATTCATTTGGAATCAAAAGCAGCTGCATACAAAAGGATTGCGATTACAATTGGAAACTTAGCACACAAAAAATATGTATGTATATTTATTCATTACCGTTTTTCTCCCTTAAGGATGTATATACTTAAGGTTATTTATAGAAGGCTGATTTGATTGAAAATTACAGCACTGGGTCTGAAATCTGGAATGGAGATCCTGTCTCTTAAAACTATATCTGGGTGATGCCTGCTTTGTGGCCTTGGATGCATTGGAATCAGTGAATAACTCAATACAGAATTGCAGAGTGGGCTATTAAAGTAAATAATGTGGGCATCAGCGCTTTGGTTTTCATCATGGTGGTGCAGCCAAAGCAGTTCTTTTTTCTGCTTCCAGTTCATACAAAATTTATGAAGCCACAATAGAAAAGGCTGGAATTAGCTACATCTGCAGTGGAGGAGGAAAGAGACAAGGCTGTGGTGATAAGAATAATGTAGACGATATGTTGGTTCTACATCTGCAGTGGAGGAGGAAGGAAACAAGGCTGTGGTGATAAGAATAATGTGGATGATATGTTGGTTCATGCATACACTGTTGGGAAATAAATTATTGGATGTGGTTAAAATACTTTAAAGGAATCATTTGGTTTTATTGGGAATTTGTATCAGAGATAATTGAAATGGTATTCTAAAAGGGTCAGATGGACTGCATCTTTCCACATACCAATTTCGGTGTTGTTTTATTTTTTACATAATAAAATGGAAACAGCTAGTGCAGTGCAGTGGTTAATGTACTGGAATAGGACCTTAAAACTCGATTTCAAGATTACCCTTACTGGATGTCTTTGAGCCAGTCACTCACATACATCTGAACCACCCTGAAGAAGGAGAAAAAAAAAATAAATGAGGGAGTGTTGTAGACTTAAACTTATGTGGAAATGTTGGGTTATACAACTGGAGAAACGAAAATAATATCTGCTAACGTCATGGGATAGGTTTGTGCTTGGAATCAAATAAATGCATTATTTGGCATGTTTTTTATTCACCATAGATGCAGTGGTGCATTGACAGCAAAATTCTCCCTACATATTTGTTAAATTTAAGGGCTGCGCAAAAGCCCTTTGAAAATGGCACTTCGAAATTATTTTAGCACAAGCAAAGCATTCCTTCCAAAAAGCCTTGAAGCATACTAATCCTTTGGATCTGCCACAGCTAGTTATGTATGTACAGTGTGTACTGCATAGAATGGTACACAAAACACTGGAACTCCAGTGAAGCAGGATGCACTACACACATCCACACAAGCATGTCCAGTCAGGTGAGAGTAGCCTTCATCCTTTGCCAATATTGTGGCTTTGAAAAGAGGTGCTCTGCTATTCCTGGACATGCTTTGTGAAGCCTCTCTTTCAAATGCTTTGCATAGCCCTGGCCATTTTGCATTGGGTTTTAGGAAAGTGAAAAGCACCTTGCAAACATCATAAACCAGAGGAGGGGAACTGTGGCCCCTTTATGACTTGTGGATTTCAACTTCAACTCCCAAACTTCTGGAAGTTGAAGTCCATGGATCATAAAAGGGCCATAGTTCCACCCACCCACCCCACCACCATCATAAAGCAAACTGAAAACTGCCATTTTAAATGTATGGGATCTCTGAGCAAAAATGCAGTGGGCTGAAAAAATGATGGGCCATAATAATAAACAACTGCATGCAGATGCTTTCCCCATTCAGAGAAAGGTATCAGAAGTGGCTTTCCAGATCCTATTGTTTTCCACTTGTAATTCTCTCATATTTTCTCGTTGCTGTATCCCATCACATTTTCTTAACTTGGAAATCTTTAAGGAAATGCATATTGTTTTCTATTGGTGGTGCTAAGGATGATCT